GTGTGGTGGTGGGCACCTGAGGCAGGAGAATTGCTTGAACCCAGGAGATGGAGGTTGCAGTGAGCCAACACGGTGCCACTGCACTCCAGCCTCGGCGACAGAGTGAGACTGTGTCTCAAAACAAACAAACAAAAAAGGACACTTGTGAAACTGCCCAGGTCCTCAAGGGTATGCATATACAAAACGCCAAGAAGTATCTGAACGATGTTACTTTACAGAGACAGTGTGTACCTGTATTCGTTCATTCTCACACTGCCATAAAGAACTGCCCCAGACTCGGTGATTTATAAAGGAAAGAGGTTTAATTGATTCACACAGTTCAGCACGGCTGGGGAGGCCTCAGGAAACACGTTCATGGCAGAAGGTGAAGGGGAAGCAAGGACTTATTCACAAGATGGCAGGAAGGAGAAGTGCCAAGCGAAGGAGGAAGAGCCCCTTATAAAACCATCAGATCTCGTGAGAATTCCCTCACGATCACAAGAACAGCATGGGGGAACCGCCCCCATGACCCAGTCACCTCCCACTGTTGCAGGACTTTTCCTTAGTTCAGTTCAAGACAGGGCTCTTTGTCCCACAGCTACAAAACTTCAGGCTCGCAGACAGTTGGAATGGTGAGGAAGACAGGGTTAGTGCTTCCCACCAGCAGCTAGTATCCCAGGTTCCACACAGTAAGAGGAGGGGCCAGGCTCCTCCCCACTGCACACGGAATGAACCTCCCAAGGCTCCACCCCAGGGTGCAAGCCAGTTGGAGTTTTCCCAGGGACCCCCTCCCACCTGGCGTCTCACCACGAGGTCACTGGCCCAACACGCGGGGATTACAATTCAGATTGCAATTCAAGATGAGATTTGGATGGTGACACCGTGCCAGACCATATCAGTGCCATTCTGACGTTACAATGGGGGAGTTGGTAGTGCCGAGGCCAAGAAGTGAGGCTGGACACAAAGTCAGTGGTCCAAAAAGAGTGCTGAGTTTTTGCTGCACTCGCTTAAAAATGCAGAGAGCAATGCTGAACTTAAGGGTTTAGATGTAGATTCTTTGGTCATTGAGCACATCCAGGTGAATAAAGCACCTAAAATGCCCCTCCAGACTTACAAAGCTCATGGTTGATTAACCCACACATGAGCTCTCCCTGCCACATTGAGATCATCCTTACTGGAATGGAACAAATTGTTCCTAAACCAGAAGAGGAGGTTGCCCGGAAGAAAAAGTTATCGCAGAAGACACTGAAGAAAGAAAAACGTATGGCTCTGGAATAAATTCAGCATAAAATAAATGCAATTGAAAGGAAAAAAGAAAGAAGAAACAGGAGTGTGAACAAGAGGTGGGTGTACGTGGGGCACGGATCGTGGGAGGGGACAAGCAGGAAGCTGGGTGCCATGGGAATCTGCAGGCCAGTGACTTCCAAGGTGAGGCCAGTATCATTGTTTCTTTTGGTTTACTCTTGTTGGGAGCCTGAGAGTTCCCGTGGCGTTGTCCTTGGCTTTCTGGGACATTTAAAGCAATGGTCAACTCGAGCTTGTCCACATGGAGAGAATGCTCCATCTCCATACGCCAGGCAGGTACTATGTTAGGCCTTCTCATATCTGTTCTCCTTTCATCCTCACAACACTGCAATGGGGAGATTCTCTGCTTTGCAGATGAGAAGAAATGAGACTTATGGAAAGGGTAAGGGTTAAGAACTTACCCACAGTGGCACCCACCATCAGGCCATGTTCCAAAGGGCAGCATCAACTGCAAAGACCATGATCTTTTCTCTTTCCTTCTGCCTCCTAGATTCAATGACAAGACTTGGCCTATGGTAAAATGGAAACATGATTTTGTAGGTCTCCTGGTTCCTAAGCAAGTGCTCACTTCACTGAAGGCAGTTTTTCCTGCAGACTTCTGTCCTAGGAGATCCACGTGGCTTTGTTTTTCTCTGCAGCTATCTCGGCCTCTCTCATGAATAGGTAACCTTGCTTTTTCTGACTGTTTTGAGATCTTTACATGCTTGCATTTGCAATTCCCTCAGGCCAGGCCTGTGCTGGATACAGGGAGCCCAGGGAGGACACTGTCCCTGCAAGGCTCACAGCCTTCCCTTCTCTGACTCGCCACAGGCCTGACTGATCCCAGGGACAGGAGAGCCAAGGACAGAGGTGGAGGCAGGAGGGCAGGAGTGTGTGATGACCTCGTAGTTCTGTAACAGCAGGTGATTCCTCCCCCATCCCTTCAACCTCCTTTTCCCTTTATTCCTTTTTTTCCCCCCTATTTAAGCTGCTGTGTCTTTTGCCCCAGGGAAGAGGTATGAGAGCAGAGAGCAGAAAAAAAGCAGTTGCTTCCTGACTTGTTTTCTAAGCCTTCCTAGAGCCATAGGGGAACAGAAAGTTACTTGGGCTTGGACAAAAGATCTAGAAGAAAACAACAGGAGCATAAGAGAGGAAGTTGAGCCCGCCCAGACTAAGGTTCCTCGGGCTGAATGAAGGGAAAACGGTGAAAAGTGGGTTCTAGGTACTGCCTCCTAACTGAGGCCCTGGGAAGTAGCAAGACTGTGGGTGAGTTGAGGGGATTGAGAGCAGAGGAGCTTGGCCTTCATTTCCCTAGGGGGTCGGGGGAGCCAGGTTGGGGGTGGGGTGGGGAGAGCTGAATAGAGCTCTCCTTACCTGTTCTTTCAGAAAGTCCAGTGTCCCAGTGAAGTGACAAGGCCATAGAGGGGTTCCTGTCAATCCCAATGTAACTGCCCAAGGGATTCTCCTTGCTGGCTGCCTAGACAGAGCCGATTTATCAAGACGGGGGAAATGCAATGGAGAAAGAGTAATTCATGCAGAGCCAGCTGGGCAGGAGACCGGGAGTTTTATTATTACTCAAATCAGTCTCTATTATTACCAAAATCAGAGTTTTTAAAGATAATTTGGCGGATAGGGAGGCTTGGGAAGTGGAGAGTGCTGACTGGTCAGGTTGGAGATGGAATCAGAGAGGATCGAAGTGAGTTTTTCTTGCTGTCTTCTGTTCCTGGATGGGATGGCAGAACTGGTTGAGTCAGGTTACTGGTCTAGTTTCTCAGCTGATCCACTGAATGCAGGGTCTGCAAAATATCCCAAGCACTGGTCTTAGGTTTTACACTAGTGATGTTATCCCCGGGAGCAATTTGGGGAGGTTCAGACTCTTGGAGCCGGAGGCTGCATGACCCCCAAAATGTAATTTCTCATCTTGGAGCTAATTTGTTAGTCCTGCAAAGCCACGCTGGTTCCCAGGCAAGAAGCGGGTCTTTTCGGGAAAGGGTTATTATCAATTTTGTTTCACAGTCAAACCATGAACTGAATTCCCTCCCAAAGTTAGTTCAGCCTGTGCCCGGGAATGAACAAGGACAGCTTAAACGTTAGAAGCAAGGTGGAGTCAGTTAGGTCTGATTTCTTTCACTGTCATCATTTCCTCAGTCATAATATTGCAAAGGCAGTTTCAGCAATGTAACAAGTGAAGGGGTCCTACCATCAGGAATGTGGGGCCTCTCATGGGAACTCCTTGGCTACTGGCTGCTGCCCAGGAACATCTCAGCAGTGAGTGAGATGGTGCTTGTGAAGACAGATGACAAAGAGGATTGGTGGCTCCTGTCTTGGCACTATGTAAGAGTTCCTTTGTTCACCCACCTTGCTCTAGGACATAATCCCAGGGAAAGGGCAGGAGAAAACCCTGAAATGACTACAATTAAGTTACTACCACTTTTTGCTGGAATTGGAGATCAAAATAAAAATGTAAAAATTAATGCAAAATAAAGTTACTTTTCTTATTCACCTGAGTCAGACACAAGCAAAAATGCCATGGGAGCAGGGGAAAAGGGCATAAAGATTGCACTGGGTGGGTGGGGAGTGTGATTGCAGAAGGCTTCCTGGAGGAGGTGAGGCTGAATTGAACATATTTAAGGTTGTTGATATGTATGCCAATTTAAATTTCCAATAGTGTCAGAGCTCCTGCTCTAACCAAAACAGCCCTCTATCCCAGGGATGTCATCCCTTGCATGCTCAAAGCCCTGTGGGAACTTCTCAGGGGGCTGGTTCCAGAGCGTGGGTGCATACTATTGACTATCCTCAGAGTGGCCAATTCCTGTGACCCGCAGAAGCCCTCTGGGCACTGTTTCCCGCAGATGCCCTGTCTGGCCAGCAGGGGGAGCAAGCTCACCGTCGCCCAGGGCGTGGCCGGCCTAGCAGGAGCCCCCGGGGGAAGGGCCGGTGGAAGCCCAGAGAGCTAGGAACACCTCGTCGCTTTACTAGCCTGCTAGGGAGTGGCACCTTTGTCACCATTGGACTTTTAGCCCTCAGCCCTCAGCCCTGGGCCCAGCCCTGCATTTTCCTCTAGAACAATTCTTTTGGGTACTACTCCTGACTAGTAACTGGGCAAAGAAAGTAGGAGTTGATGGCACATCATGGTTTCTAGGGACGTCTTGGGACAGCTGGGAGCGGGGCTGGGCCTCTGGGGTTTCTCACCTGAACTCTCCAAGCCTGTGGCCTGTGGAGAGGCCCCATCCACTGAGTCATGTAAAATGGCAGATGGTGATAAATAATTATGGGCAAAGCTGCCCATCACACTCATTGAACAGGGGCCATGCCAAATGTCCCTTCATACTACTACTGATAATAACCTGTAGTCCCACCGTATGATGACATGTTATTTAGCAGTTAAAAACCCTGGCGTCCAGGGATATTTAATGACATGGGATACTGCTCACATATAATGTGGATGTTTTTCTCCATTCGTTCTTGCAGAATCTTGCTCTGCCCTGCCCCGCACCCCAGGAGGTTGGCCCCATGCTCTGCATTACCCCGACTCCCTTCCCCTCTGGCTCCAAGCTGGATTCAGCCAACGGGAGACACCAGCAGAAGATGGAAGCCTGGGAGGAGAGGCTGGGATCTGTCTCCTCCACTCCCTGCCTGTCTCGGGGCCTCCAGGACTGCAGCTTCCACTGGGCAGCCTCCCCTTGGACTCTGTGACCACCATTTTTTGCCACTACCCCCTTGATCCTAAGGGTGGTAACAGCTTCCTGCTATTGCCAACTGCTGGGTGCCTCAACATCCTTTGTTGGTTTCCTTAAACTTGTCCGCATCTCTGTAAATCATCCTTTACTAAATAGCCCTTCATCTGAAGCGTCAGTATGAATGCCGTTCCTGCCAGGACTTTGACCAGTGCACATGGTAAGTGAAAAGAGAAAAATACAGAACTTTGTATTTTATAAAAGGCAGATACTTTATCTGTGTTCTTTCACTAAACCCTCACAGCAATGCAGTGGAATGCAGCTGAAAGGAGTGTTGACACCAGATTCAAATTTAGAAAGCATTTGAAAGCATGGTCTAATAATGTCTCCATGGAAGAGGAAGAACGTGCTGACAAAGGAAGTGACGAAGGTACTCTAGACATTTATTCCGTTTAGAAGCTTCCGTAAGTTACTACCAGATGGTATTTTTTAATGCATAATATTTTAACTCTTAAGAATGTGCTTCTGGGCTGGGTGTGGTGTCTCATGCCTGTCATCCCAGCACTTTGGGAGGCTGAAGTGGGTGGACCACGAAGTCAGGAGATTGAGACCATCCTGGCCAACATGGTGAAACCCCATCTCTACTAAAAATACAAAAATTAGCTGGGCATGGTGGCGCATGGCTGTAATCCCAACTACTCGGGAGGCTGAGGCAGGAGAATCGCTTGAACCTGGGAGGCGGAGGTTGCTGTGAGCCAAGATTGTGCTATTGTACTCCAGACTCCGTCTCAAAAAAAAAAAAGAATGTGCTTCTGATAAAGGAGAAGGGAAGGAAAGGAGGAGGAGGAAGGTGGCTTGATAAAGTAGGACACGTTTTCATCATTGTGCAAACATAAGAAAATAAAGTAGGCCACATGAGCTCAGATGACCTGGTTTTTCCCTAAGCCAAAAACCCAGCTTAGAATGGGAGGAGCTGACTTAATTTCTCAGAATCTCAACTCTACCACTATGTGACCTCAGTGTTTTAAATCTGTAAAATGGTTATATTAATCGATGCCTTATGGGTCATTGTGATGACTGATAGAGTCAACATATGGAAAGCATCTGGTTCCATGCCCAGGTCCTGTGGGAACTCAGTAAAATTTGAATTCCCCTTCCTATCCCTTCAGCCACATCTGGAAAGGAAAGTTGCGGCTCTGGCTAAAACTGAAATAGGAGTGTGAGACAAAAGCCTCATTTGGTGACCTAGTGCCTGACACGTATTAGGGGCCCTTTTTAAGCAGCTGACAAATCAATGAATGAACAAATGAATGTTCTGCCCAGATCTCCCCTCCCCTGGCCAGGTCCCAGGCTGACTTTTCAAAGCCTTCTTGCACCAAATCATCTTTATTCTCTATTCCATTGCTGTGTATGAGGTTTCCACGAACCTAGTGGCTTATTCCAGCACACCTTTATTATCTTACAGTTCCTGGGCACAGCCTCGCTGGGTCCTCTGCTCAGGGACTCATAAGGCAGCAATCAAAGGATCAGCTAGGCTGCATTCTCATCTGGAGACTGGACTGGGGCTGGTCTCAGAGCCTGGGCACACGCTGTTGACTAGCCTCAAAGTCTCCCAAGTCTCACAGACTCATTCAGGTTGTTGGCAGAATTTATCACCATATGGTTGTAGGACTGAAGTCCCTATTTTCTTGCTAGCTGTCAGCAGGAGCCCCTCTCAGCTTCTAAAGGTTGTCCATAGTTCCTTGTTATGTGGCATTCTCACAACATGGCAGCTTACATCCACAAAGTCAGCACATACAAGTTTCTCTCTCCCTTCAGCCCATTCAGATCCGTGTGTCTTTGTGTGTGTGTGTGTGTGTGTGTGTGTATAAAACCCCCTTTGCCATATAATGTAACTTAATAAAAGGAGTGACAGTCCATCACATTGGCCAGGCTATATTCTGTCGATGAGAAGCAAGTCCCAGTTTCCTCCCATACTCAAGAAGAGATGGTGGGGGTTATACAGGGTGTGGCTCATTGGGGGCCATTTTAGGTTGTGTCCACTACACCTATGCCCTTAGAGTCCTGTTGGGTGATGAACAAACTTATGTATTTTCCTTCCATGTAATCTACTTGCATTTTTACCATGACATTCAGGAAATAATTCCTTAACCCCTGGTAATTGTGACAATGCCAGGAATTCTGGCTATATGTGTGTGTGTGTATGTGTGTGTGTGTATATATATACACATACACTTTGGGAGTATATATATATATATATATATATATATATATACTTTTTTTAATTTTTAAGGCAGAGTCTCACTCTGTCACCCAGGCTGGAGTGCAGTGGTGCGATCTTGCTCACTGCAACCTCCACCTCCCAGGTTCAAGCAATTCTCCTGCCTCAGCCTCCCAAGTAGCTGGAATTACAGTCGCTCACCACCATGCCCAGCTACTTTTTGTGTTTTTTTAGTAGAGACGGGGTTTTGCCATGTTGGCCAGGCTGGTCTTGAACTCCTGGCCTCAGGTGATCCACCCACCTCAGCCTCCCAAAGTGCTGGGATTACAGGCGTGAGCCCCAGCACCCGGCTGAATTCTGGCAATATTTGTTGCTGGCTTCCTGTGGGGAAATGGAAGAGGTGGCCTCACCACTAGGAGTCTTCATGCTTTTCAGATTCACTGCTCAGATGGCCACTCACTTGTTCATGTCTGTTCACCCATTTGTCAGCATATATTTCCTTGGCTGAGTGGCTAGTACTGTGCCATAGAGGTAATGCTGCTAGTCTCTTCCTTGGTAACCAACTTTACTTCTTTTGTGTTACTTCCTTGAAAAACCAGCTTCCTTTTTTTTCTTTTGTTGAGTAAAAAACATATTTTTTGGTTTAAGTCAAGTATGTGTTCACCCACAAATAATACAAAACCCAAGAAACAGTGGGTTAAATAAGTAAGAGATGTATTTTAATTACCTTACCAGAGGTCCAGGGTTAGGCACTCCAGGACTGGTGAAGCTGCTCAAAAACGTCATCATCGTCCCAGCCTTCTTCTCCCAGCATCTAACATTAGCCCTCATAGTCACAAGGCTGCTGCTGCATCACCAGGCATCGCACCCATGTTTCACACAGGAAGACGTGGGAGAGGAAAGAGACTTGCCTTTCTATTTCATTTATTTATTTATTTATTTTATTTTATTTTTGAGAAGGAGTCTCGCATTGTCGCCCAGGCTGGAGTACAGTGGCGTGATCTCGGCTCACTGCAACCTCTGTGTCCCGGGTTCAAGCGATTCTCCTGCCTCAGCCTCCCGAGTAGCTGGGACTATAGGCACCTACCACAATGCCCAGCTAATTGTTTGTATTTTTAGTAGAGACAGGGTTTCACCGTGTGAGCCAGGATGCTTTCGAACTCTTGACCTCGTGATTTGCCCGCCTCGGCCTCCCAAAGTGTTGGGATTACAGGTGTGAGCCACTGCGCCCGGCCTGAGACTTGCGTTTTTATTCTGGAAGGCTCACCCATCCCAAGGTCTTCCATCTACATCTCATTGGTCAGAACTTGATCACATGGTCATCAGTAACTCCAAGAGCACTGGGAAAGCAAATTTGTTTAGCTGGGCACATTATCAGCCTGAACAAAATCAAGGTTCTGGTGGCAGGAAGACAAGGAAATGGATTTGGGTTAGGTCACCACTGGGACCACTGTGGAGAATTAGGCCAAATCTCCGTGGTTCCTCAAAGCCGAAGGTTTTGCAGTGACAGCAGTGGATTCTTTCTGGGTCCTTGTCAGCAGGCGAAGCTGACACAGAAACATTCTTGGTTTCTTTGCCAGAAAGGTGTTAACTGAGCTTCCAGCAGCTGCTGTAAAATGGAAATAATGGCTCTTCTGCCCCGAGGGCCCTGCTGTCCAGAGCTCTCTGGAAGGTGGCAAGAAGCCTCCACCGCAAGCCTGATAGGATGAGATGCTAATGTGCAAACTATGCTTCCGGGTAGAGATCAGACAAACAAACAAAAATGCACAGAGAGAACAGTGCGCAGGTCCTGGACCTGTCAGGCTTCACATCTGTGCCACTCACCCCTCCCCTCTTCCGCTCTGTGTTGCATGGAGCCGCCCCTGATGACTCCATTTTGGTTGGAGATGGGGCTTGGCCAACAGGGAGCACTAGCAAGAGACAGGGAGGTGGGAGGATGGGACACGCCAAGGTTTTCCCTCTCTTTCTACCTCGGGTAGTGTCCCTGCTGCAGCTGTGGTTCCGCCGTGGCTCTAGCACCTCTCCCAAAAAGCCTGCTGTGCTTTCTGCTTTGCCCCTGTGCTACAGCCCCCTGCTCTCCATCGACAGCACTTTCCTGGCCTTGCCCCCAGCTCAGGGTTGTCACATCTGATACTAATCTCAGGGTTGTGTGTTTGGCTGCTCAGTCTCCCACCCACTGTGTAACCAGTACTCTGCCTCAAAGTCCTTCTGTTTTCACGACTCCAGTGGTCTTTGTCTCCTGGTTAGATCCTGACTCATACAAACCATACAAGAAACACCCAAACACCCATCTCTTAGCTTTAACAATGATTACCATTCTGCCACATTTGTTTCATCTATTTTTATTTTTGTGGAAAAAAAAATCTCAGGCATCATAATGTTGCTAAATGATTTCAGCATGTATCTCTGAAAAATAAGGACATTTTCTTACATAACAGGCATATTTAGTTGTTCACACCCGTGTTCACAAATTAACACACCTAACAACATGAGCAAAACTTCCTTATGGCCATCGAATACGCAATCCATATTCAAATTCCCCCAATTGTTCCAGAGATGTCTATTTTACAGTTGGTTTGTTCAAATCAAGATTTAAACAAGGTTCACACATTGCATTTGGTAGATATGTTTCCTGAGCGTCTTTTAATCTTAAGCAGTCCTCCCCACTAGACAATCACACGCAGACACACACACACACACACAGTCGCACTGGCACACCCTGCTCATGCCCACTTCTCACAGCACCCTTTGTAAAAACTATCCTGTCAGTTTTGGTCCACAGCCCTTCACCCTGTCCTCTCTTCTCTGTACCCCTAGAGACTCCAAGTCACTGAGCCCCAGCTTGGTACTGACTCTTTTATTTTTTCCTACATTTCTTTGTTTTGTTTGCCTCATAGTAGGTAAAGTCACACAGAGGCAAGAACTAAGTCTCATAATGACCTTAACAGCAAAGAAAACTTAAAGGTTACCTATTCTGAGACTTGATTTTTCTTTTTTATTGTTTTACAATTTGCATAAATAATACATCACTACTCATGGATAAAAAAACTGAGGCCCAGGGAAGCTAAGTAATCTGTCTAAGAATGCATAGCAAGTTGGCATCAGAACAGGCATCCACTTTGGGTGGATTTTCCACTATACTATGCACGTCTCTTTCCATTTTTCTGTGGCACCCACCACTGTGTTATGAAATGCAGACAAGGGTCCTC